CTCATCAGCCCCAGGCCTGACAGAACAGCCAGGTCTTGACGGCTTTGCGGAAAGCCTGAAGGGTGGTGAAGGTCCGGATCTCCATGGGGAGATCATTCCAGAGGGCTGGAGCAGCCACAGAGAAGGCCCTCCTCCGGGTGGTCGACAGTCGGCATTGGAACTACATCAGTTGGATAACTATTCTGTATGTGGTGCGAGACAAAAATCATTTTTGAATATATATATTAGTAAGGTAGTAACATAATGTATATTATTATTAGAATTATAGAGGCTGAAAAATAGTTTGTAAATTAGATAAACAAAATTTGTATAAGGGTATTATTAAATATGTATAAAAATGTGATTAACAGAGAAAAGCTAGGATTAAGTCATTTGATAAATGCTTGAAAGATCATGATTGATGCTAGAAGTGCATATTGAAATATTGAATAATGAAAAAAGGAAGGATCAGGTCTTTGAATATTAGAATGATCGGGGAAAAGGAAACAGGGGAAGGGGCTAAAATAGAGGTAGGAATAAGAGGGGGGAAAGAGCAAAAATAGATGTTAAGATGATACAACGTATGGTAGAACTATGAGAAGGTTTAGAATTGAAGGATGATAGTAGAAATTACATGTTAGTAAAACTAAAAATGAAAATGAAATGTAATGACTAGGAATAATACTATTATGTTTATTGGTGTTAAACTGTATGACACCCAGGAATAAAACCATTCACACAATGAGATGTATAAAAATAAAAAAAACGTTATTTTAAAAAAAATAGCCAAGCTATTTAAGCTATGCAAGGCCAGCCACACAACTTTCCTGCCTAGGCAGGGGGTTGGACTAGAAGACCTCCAAGGTCCCTTCCAACTCTGCTATTGTATTGTAACTGACAACACGCCAAGATTGGGGCCGTTTCAGCACCCTGGAGAGCTCACCAGGCACCGTTTCCAGATGCTGCTTCAGCAGGGGTTAGGAACATAGGATCACAGGGCTGGAAGGTGCCTTGAAGCTTTCACAGATTACAGGTTGACAGAGTTGGAAGGGACCCTGTAGATCATCTAGTCCAACCCCCCACTCAAGCAGGAGACCTTACACCATTTCTGACAAATGGCAGTCCAAACTCTTCTTGAAAGTCTCCAGGGATGAATCTCCCACAACTTCCGGTTGGGATGGAAAATTTTCAGCACGGGGCGTGCTGAAAATTTTCGTGTAAATGTGTTTTATTTTCCATTTTCATTTTCGTACAGTCACACATATACTGTACAGAACCGGGGCCATATAAC